GGACGGCACAGTTAGCAAAGCTCCTGATGATGGAAAACATGGCGATTTTGAAATTACTCGTGAAGCTGGTAATACTTCGTGGCTACCGCTACTTGCAGCTGGTGCGGATCGGGCGGTGTTTCGCGCTCGTCCAGCTGCTGGCCCTGCTGGCGTTGTTCGGCCAGGCCCCGTCTCTCTCCCATCCAGGCTCCGACTTGTAACAGATTTTTTGGCTTCTCGTCATATCTTCCCTGGTACTCAGCAGTTCCAGACGATGATGAACAGTGATCGGGTGTATGGGATGGCAACGCAATGGTATAATCAGCAGAGCAGCAGCAGCAGCGGAGCGCAGTGAGGGAGTAGTGAAGCAGCCGCATTCGTTTTCCACATTGAACTTTTTGTCGCCAACTGTGCTGGCAAGGGCCCATCTCGGTTGTTGCAAGGCGGGTTCTGGCCCTGTGGGCTCCGTCGTGTAGCGACTGCGTCGGCGTTTGCAAGCCCATGCTTCTCTATTCGGGCTCAAGAATAACTGCCCGAATTTCCGCCCTCAGTTTTAACCCCGATTTCCTTTTACATCTCTCTACACATCTTGTGCCAATCTTGCCCTGGGATAAATTCAGGAGTGCCCCTCGCGGTCCCCTCACACGTCGGAGATCGTGGGGACGTACCCTGGAGCCACCGTGGCTCCGTAGGGTACCGTCCTGTCGCCTCGAGGCCCAGCCTCTAGGCACGTTCCTGGCTTGATCAGGCTCGCCGCTCCAGAGTCACTTGGCATTCAATTCGTTGTTCTGCCCAGTGGTGATTTTGATATAGCTGGATTGCATAGTGCACTCAGCTCTCTCCAGAGACATCGGTTGGAGCTTATGGTGATTGTCTTGTCTTGTCCCCCTCCTCCCCCTCCCCCTCCATTCTTTCTCCTTATCGATAACTCCTCCCTGTCGCACCCTGAGGCCAGTTTTTAGGGCGGGCCGGGCGTTTCGCTTGAGACTTCTCCGCCATCTATGACTCTGAAACTTAAAGTTACAGCAACTTCGCAGATGGAGGGCGGGTGGTTTTCAAAATGTGGCTCTCGCATTAGCGCCGCGCGCATTCGCTTTATTCATTTGCAAGAGTTTCAAGGACTCCCCTGATCAGCGTACTGGAAAGGGCGTTCTGGAAGGATTCAGTATTATGCGGGCGTAACAGTTGTATTGGCAGTTGTATTGGTTCGCTGTGTCGAAGTCCTGAAAATGACGTTTTGGCCAGATACTGGGTCGCCAAGACGCAGCAGACAGTTTAATGCGCGGCGTTGAAATCCGGAGAACAATGTTTTGGCACGCTTCAGGATCTTCAAACTATTGTCTTCCAACGAGGCAGTCCCCTCAATGGACATGACCGCTGTAGGGGCCTATGAAGAGGGAGCTTGGAGGGAGGGTGAATTCCAACATCGTTGATGACTCTTGTGTTTCCATGAATCCTCATCCTCCTCCCCCTCCTCCTCCTCCTCCTCCTCCTTTTCCTCCTCCTCCCCCTTCTCCTCCTTCTCCTCCTCCTCCCCCCAGAACTCCGTAGCCATTCTGGATCAAGCCATTTTGGCTCAAGTAAACCATTTCTCGAGGTGGCATATAGAGAGAGTTTGCCCTCCCGCGGGCCGTCTTTCACGGGCCATTCGCTTCATTGCGGGTTGCATTCCGCATCATGCTTCCTTTGTGGCTTGTGTGTGCCCTTTTCTCTCGTGCCGTATGGCTCCCCAGCGGCGAGCTGCCCAGGCGGAGCCCTGATATTGCAAGTGGTGCACGCACAAGCCCAGCGGCACGCCATGGATCAATCGTGCGGATAAGACGTCCTGTTCCATGCGTGGGCTGCCCAAGGGGTCGGCGTTCAAAGGAGTCCCTCCTCCCACGGCCCCTGTCAAGCGCGCCGACACCGTCGTATCGGCTCGAGAGGAGGCCCTTTCGAAACAAGCCGCCGGGTTGCAGCAACAAATGGCCAAGTGAGGCGTGTCGCCACCTGCCAGGCCAGCAGCATCGCCTCCATGGCACAAGAGAGATGGTGCGGCCAATCCTAGGCGTGCTCGTGTGGCCAAGCTGGGGCATATCATCGCAGTGCTGGGCGACTCTGACCAGGCTATTCATGACCAGTATATCGCCGAGAAGGAGCGTCTGCTGGCAGAGCTGGCGGCGGAAAAGCCGCAGGACGTCAATGTTGCCAGTCTCAACAGCAGGCTGCAGAGCGCTCGGGCAAAGCATGCGCCCCTGGTCACCAAGTTGGAGCAGGCTCAAGCAGCAGTGGACGCTGCTGCGAAAGTCGTCGAGCAAGTTCAGCCTGACAAGGCACAGTCGGAGCAGAGTATCATGGAGCTCGAGGAGCAACTGCGGCAGGCGGCCACCCCCACTATGCCCGTGTGGGGGGGGACGGCAAGCCTTCCCTCCGCGCCATCAGACCTGGCCCGGCACGGAAACGGAAAGAGCGCCTCAAACAAATTAACCGAAATTACTCACACCACCGTTCGTACTGGGAGCCTTGGCGTTGAGAGCTTGTTACGTCACCCCTCGCTCCTGGGAGCCTTGGTGTTCCGAGATTGCCGCGTTGCCGCCGTCTGGGGGCCCTCTTGGGCCGTTTTGGGGGCCTCTTGGAAGCCTCTGGGGCCGTCTTGGGGACCTCTTGGAAGCCTCTTGGGCCGTCGTCAACGCCGTGAAAAGGCGAAAAGCCGTAGATGCCACAAATATACGCTTCCCGATGGAAAATCGATGATGTTGGCCTCTTGGGGCCCTCTCGGGACGCCCCTTGGGCGCCTCTTGGGGGCCTCTTGGGACGTCTTGGGGCTGTCTTGGGCGGTCTTGGGCTCTCCTGGGGGGGAAAAATGTGAAATCAGAAAAACATACAAAAACCTTTTGGGAAAACCCCCAACATAGGACCATTAGACGTGCCCCCGGCCCTTGCCCCCCCCCCCCCCCCCCCTGGACCCCCCCCCCTTAAGGGCTTCGCCCCAACTCAACGGAACTCACTCGTACCTCGCTCTTTCCGTCACCAGGGTTCGAGGCTACGGTGCAGCAGTTCGATGCGGTGCTCAAAGCGTTGGCAGGTTATTCTGTTGTTGCTTCTGGTCACCTGGCCATGGCGAACACAGTCAGGCGGCTCAAGGAAGCCCCAGCCCCAGAGAGATGCTCGCAGCGGAGCAGGCGGCGGACCACGTCGACAGCATGGACACAGCCACCGTGCGCGCTCATCTGGAGGCTTGCGGGGTCAGCGGTCTGGAGGCGCCCAAGGAATGTGAGGAGGATGCAGACACTGCAGAGTTGCGAGGGAGGCTCAAGCGGCATTTGCAGATCACGCTCACGGTCTACAAGCGCACCAGGACTGGGGCGAGTAATTAGCGGTTGGTTGTTCGCGTTTGTGTTGTTGATGATTGGACTCGTTGTAGCAATCAGGATGCAGTCATACGCTCGTGCAGAGGTGGCCCCTGCTACTGAGCCAAAGAGCTTACGAAGGATCCACGCGTCCCTCGACGATGACACGTTGGATCCCCTGGGGCGCCTGGCAGAGGAACCTGAGCACGGAGGTGAGACGTTTCCGGATCCCCAGAGCATTCCCGCAGCGGGGGGAGGCCACAACGTTCTTCATCATCCTGCTCTACCTCATACTGGACATATCCAGGGCGGCCTGCCTTTTGTGGGCCCTGAATATACTTCCACTTGTTCAGGTTCGCGCTCCCTTGCCCGGGCTGGGGCGGGCCCGCCCGAGAAGGCGCTCCCCCCCCCCCCCCCCCCGCGGGGCCGTCCGACCATGTTAGCACGCCAGCTGGGTCAGGAGGGTCTCGCCCTGCGGGGCGGAACGGGGAACCGCTGGAGGCGGTAACGGCCAGCCGCAGTGCAGCATGGGCGTCAGTTTCCGCGGCGATGGGGTCGATTGCAGGATCGTCGACGTCAGTCTCGCAGTCTACCTCGACTGGAGCCTCCCATGCTTGGGCTGAAGATTTCCCGCTTGAGAAAGTGGAGACTTCCCCCACCTCTGCGGGTGCCGCGGGTCATGTTGGTTCGCCCATTTGGCCGCGCCGCACCTGCCCCGCAGGTGGTGTCGAGGAACCGATGGAGGCGGGAGCGGCCAGTCGCTGGAGGCGGGGGGCGGCCAGTCGCCGGGAGCGGCCAGTCGCCAGTCGCCAGTCGACGTCAGGTTCCCGTGCGTCAGTTTCGCCGTCGATTGCGACTGAAGTAGATGAGGGGACGGGAGGCCGCCCTAGGGCGTCGGCCTCATCCCCTTGGGCCCCCGGCCTCGCAGCAGGCACCCCCGAACGGGGGTAAGACTCCCCACCAGAGCCGATGTTCCAAGGGGACCACTCTGAGTCGGAGCTTCGACCCCCTGGAGCCTCGGAGAGGGGGGAGAGTTTCTGTCGTGTGGCCCAGGGCGCGGCGGCCGACTTGCGTGAAGATAACGGTGTTTCCGCCTCGAGCCGCTGCGGCCCAGCTGGCGTCTCCCACCCTCCTGGCCATTTTGGCAGGTCCGGGCGCGCGGGCGCCCTTGTCTCGCGCACCGTTCCTTCCAGGGGATTGTCGGACGATTCTGTTTAGTTTTGCCTCCCCCCCTGGCTGGCGCGAAGGTTGCTTTGCGCGGCTGTGGGTGCGGTGGCGGTCGCGGTGGTGGGTTGGGGTCGCGGTGGCGCAAAGATTGCCGCGCTTCCCTTTCCCCTCCTCCCCCGCGTCGCCCCTCGTGGCGCGCGGGGCTCTCGGCGGCGGCGCCGTTGGCCGCCCCGCCACGCCCGCGTACGTCGGCCTGTTCAACGTGGCGGGCTCCTTCGGCCACTAGGCTGGACCCTGGACCACCACGTCGGGGCTTGCCCCTGGGCGGTGGCGCAACGGCGCGCGCCCCTCCCCTTCCTCCTCCTCCTCGTCCTCCTCCTCCTTTTCCTCCTCCTCCTCCTCTTCCTTTTCCTTCTCCTCCTCCTCCTCCTCCTCCTCCTCCTCCTCCTCCTCGGGGCTTGCCCCTGGGTGGTTGCGCAACGGCGCGCGCCCCCCCCCCCCGAAGCAAGCGGCGCCCCCCAGCAGGAGGAGCCAGGCCGCGCCTCACACCTCGGAGCACCGGCGCCGCGCGGCTCGCAGGGCGCCCAGAGGGAACGTTGGCGGCCAGGGGTTCGCAAGCCCGGGCGACGACGACGACAAGCGACGACGACGACGACGACGACGAGGAGCGACAACGACGACGACGAGCGACGACGACGACGACGACGAGCGACGACGACGAGGACCACGAGAGATGACGAGCGAAGACGACGACGACGACGACGACGACGATGACGACGACGACGACGAGCGACGACGAGCGTCGACGAGCGACGACGAGCGACGACGACCAGCGACGAGCGACGGCGACGAGGAGGACGACGAGGAGCGACGACGACGAGCGACGACGATCAGGACCACGAGTGACGACGAGCGAAGACGACGAGCGACGACGAGCGACTACGACGACGACGACGAAGAGCGACGACGACGAGCAACGACGACGAGCGACGACGACTAGGACCACAAGAGACGACGACCGCCAACGACGACGACGACGGGCGACGACAACGACGACAAGCGACGACGACGACGAGCGATGACCACGAGCGACGACGAGCGACGACGACGACTGTGAAAAACGACGAGCGAAGACGACGACGATGACGACGAGCGGCGACGAGCGACTACGACGACGACGAGCGACGACGACGACGACGACGAGCGACTTCGAGAGACGACGTGCGACGACGACGACGACGGGCGACGACGGTCGACGACGACGACGACGAGCGACGACGACGACGTCGCCGATGACGACGACGACGACGAGCGAAGACGACGACGACGAGCGACGACGACGACATCGACGACGACGACGAGCGACGACGAGCGCCGACGACGACGACTAGCGACGACGACGACGACGACGACGACGACGAGCGACGACGACGACGACCACGAGAGACGACGAGCGAAGACAACGACGACGAGCGACGACGACGAACGACGACGTGCGACGACGACGACGATACGACGAAGACGACGACGACGACGAATAACGACGAGCGACGACGACCAGCGACGACGACGAGGACGACGACGACGACGAAAACGACGACGACGACGAGCGACGACGCCGACGAGCGACGACGACGACGGCGACGACGACGACGACGACGAGTACGAGCGACGACGAGCGACGACGACGAGGACCACGAGAGACGACGACGAGCGACGACGACGACGACGATGACCACGAGAGACGACGAGCGAAGACGACGACGACGAGCGACGACGACGACGACTACGAGCGAAGACGACGACGAGCGACGACGACGACGACGAGCGACGACGACGACGCCGACGAACGGCGACGAGCGACGACGACGTCGACGTCGAGGGTGACGACGACGACGACGATGAGCGACGACGAGCGTCGACGAGCGACGACGACGAGGATCACGACAGACGACGAGCGACGACGACGACGACGAGCGACGACGACGACGAGCGACGACGACGACGACGAGCGACGACGAGTGAAATCGACAACTGACGACGACGACGACGAGCGACGACGACGACGACGAGGAGCACGGCGACGACGACGACGAGCGACGACGACGAGCGACGACGACGAGCGACGACGACGACGACGAGTGAAGAGCTGCGACGAGCGTCGACGACCACGACGAGCGACGACGATCGACGACGACGACGACGAGCCACGACGACGACGACGACGACGACGCGAGACGACGAGAGACAAAAAGCCACCACGACCGACGTCGACGACGACGAGCGACGCCGAGTGAGGACGAGCGATGACGACGACGACGACGACGAGCGACGACGAGCGACGACGAACGACGAACTACAACGAGCGGTGACAAACGACGACGGGCGACGACGACGAGCGACGACGCTGACGACGACGAGCGGCGACAAGCGACGACGACGAGCGACGACGACGACGAGCGACGACGACTACGACGACGACGACGAGCGACGACCAATTACGACGACGACGATGGACGACGACGACGAGCGACGACGAGCGACGACGACGAGCGACGACGACGACGAGGACCACGAGAGACGACGAGCGAAGACGACGACGTCGACGAGCGACGACGAGCGACGACGCCGACGAGCAACGACGACGACGACGACCCACGACGACGACGACGACGAGCGACGACGAGCGACGACGAGCGAAGACGACGACGAGGACGACGACGACGAGCGACGACGACGAGCGACGACTACGACGAGTGACGACGACGACGGCGAGCGACGACGACGACGACGAGCGAAGACGACGACGAGTGACCACGACGACGACGACGACGACGAGCGACGACGACGGTGACGTCGACAGCGACGACGAGCCACGACGACGAGCGACGACGACGAGGACCACGAGAGACGACGCGCGAAGACGACGAGCGACGACGACGACGACGACGATGAAGACGACGACGACGACGACGAGCGACGTCGACGACGACAACAACGACGTGGATCACGACAGACGACGAGCGACGACGACGACGAGCGACGACGAGCAATGACGAGCGATGACGACGACGAGCGACGACGAGTGACGATGAGCGACGACGAGCGACGAGGACGATGACGATGACGAGCGACGACGAGCGACGACGACGACGACGTTGAGCGACGCCGACGACGATAACGGGCGACGACGACGACGACGAGCGGCGACGAACGACCACGACGACGATGACGACGACGAGCGACGACGAGCGACGACGACGCGCGACGACGACGAGCGACGACGACGAGGAACACGAGAGACGACGACGAGGACGACGACGACGACGACGAGCGTCGACGACGAGCGACTACGACGACGACGACGAGCGACGACGAGCGACGACGATGACCACGAGAACGAGCACGAAGACCGCGAGAGACGACGGCGAGGACGACGAGCGACGACGCGCGACGACGACGAGGACGACGACGACGAGCGACCACGACGACGACGAGCGACGACCACGACGACGACGACGAAGATGACGAGCGAAGACGACGATGACGAGCGACGACGAGCGACGACGACGACGAGGACGACGACGATGACGACGAGCGACGACGAGCGACGACGACGAGGTCGACGAGGACCACGGGTGACGACGAGCGACGACGACGAGCGACGAGCGACGACGAGTGACGACGAGCGACGGCGACGACGACGACGAGCGACGACCACGACGACGAGCGACGACGAGCGACGACGACGACGACGAGGACGACGACGAGGACGACGAGAGACGACGAGAGACGACGACAAAGACGAGCGACGACGAGCGACGACGACGATGACGACGAAAACGACGAGCGCCGACGACGACGACGAGCGACGACGACGAGCGACGACGATGACCACGAGAGACGACGAGCGAAGACGACGACGGCGAGCGTCGACGAGCGACGACGAGCGACGACGACGAGCGACGACGAGCGACGATGACGACGACGACGAGGACCACGAGAGACGACGAGCGAAGACGACAACGACGACGAGCGACGACGACGACGAGCGACGACGAGGACGACGACGACGACGAGGACGACGAGCGACGACGAGTCACGACGACCACGACGACGACAACGAGGGCAACGACGACGAGCGACGACGACGACTAAGAAGACGAAGACTACGACGACGATGACGAGCAACGACGACGAGGACGACGACGACGATCGCGAACCGCGACGAGCGAAGACGACGACGACGAGCGACGACGAGCGACGACGACGAGGACGACGACGACGACGAGAGACGACGAGCGAAAACGACGACGGCGACGAGCGACGACGTGCGACGACGACGACGCCGACGAGCGACGACGACGCGCGACGACGACGACGACGACGACGAGCGACGACGAGGACGACGACGAGGACGACGACGAGGACCACGAGCGACGACGAGCGAAGACGACGAGGACGACGACGACGACGACGACGAGCGACGACGAGCTACGACGATGACGACGATCGACGACCACGAGGGTCACGAGAGACGAGGAGCGACGACGACGACGAGCGACGACGACGATGACGACGACGACAACGACGAGCATGATGAGCGACGACGACGAGGACGATGACGAGGACCACGACGAGCGAAGGCGACGACGACGAGCGGCGACGACGAGCGACGTCAACGACGACGACGACGACGAGCGACGACGACGACGACGAGCGACGACGACGAGCGGCGACGACGAGAACGACGAGGACCACGAGAGACGACGAGCGAAAACGACGGCGACGACTAGCGACGACGAGCGACGACGACGAGCGACGTCGACGAGGACCACGAGAGACGTCGAGCGACGACGGCGACGACGACGAGTGACGACGAGCGACGGCGACGAGGCCCACGAGAGACGACGAGCGAAGACGACCACGAGCGAAGACGCCCGACGACGACGACGACGTCGACGACGACGACGACGACGACGACGACGAGCGACGACGAAGAGGACGACGACGAGGAACACGAGAGACGACGAGCGAAGACGACGACGGTGACGTCGACAGCGACGCCGAGCGACGACGCCGAGGACTACGGCGAAGACGACGACGACGAGCGACGACGAGCGACGACGACGAGGACGACGACGACGAAGACGACGAGCGACGAGGAGCGACGACGACAAGGACGACGACGAGGACCCCGAGAGACGACGGGCGAAGACGACGACAACGACGGAGACGAGGACCACGACGAGGACCACGTGAGACGACTCGCGAAGACGACGACGACGACGACGACGACGACGAGCGACGACGACGACGACGACGACGACGACGAGCGACGGCGACGAGGAGGACGACGAAGACGACGAGAGACGACGACGACGACGAGCGACGAGCGACGACGACGACGACGACGACGACGGCGACGACGACGACGAGCGACGACGAGAGACGACGAGGAGGACGACGACGAGGACCACGAGAGACGACGAGTGAATACGACGACGACGACGACAAGCGGCGACGAGCGACGACGACGACGACGAGCGACGACGAGCGACGACGACGAGGACGACGACGAGGACCACGAGAGACGACG